TTAAAAAAAAAAAAAAAACAAAACACCAAACTATTTAAAACCCTGATTTAAAACCTGGCTCAGTGATAGTTTGTCACGGGGAATTCCACTGACTAAATACAGTTGCCACAAAGAAACATGCACGTTATAAACACGATCACTTGCCTTTAAGTTTACAAACTTACTGGCTTACCCAGAGTTCTACAATAAGTTTGTTACGTTATCCCAGACCACCATTTTTGTATTTTCTTCGCAAACTAATAGGATTCTTTGTATACAAGCTATTAAAACCACCGACATGATTTTCTACACCTTATCCTTGTGATTTAATATGTATTTTTACACAGACTGAATGTAACCAAACAGTAGGTCAGCTTGTCACAAAAAGCACATAAGCAGCTATCAATTCAAACAGCCACAGATAACCCAGAAATGGTCCACAGTTCAGGAAATACCAGATGAAAAACCCTCTCTACAAACATATGGGGGCTAGGGAAACAAAATTGCTAGAGGGAGTGAGTTCCACAGCTGGAGTATCTCAAATAACCATCCTCCATTCAACTCACCTTTCCCTCTCCACATTTACACCCCACTGCTCCTCTCCACATACTGACACCAAAAGTACCCCAGCTGTCTTGAAAATATTAGGTGGAGTAGTTACTGTGTGGCTTTTTTTTTTTTTTTTTTAAATGTCTAAATTTAAAGTTAACTGTTCATGTTTATTTCATAGGCAAGAAAACCTACCCACTTCCTCCATCTTTAACATTTCTCATCATACCATAGGCACAACCTGTCTCCCCTACTCGGACGCTGTTCTCTAACTCATGCAAGTCCATAGGAGTAGATAGGACACATCTGAGAGTACTGGGAGAGCTGGCTGGCATCATCACGAGGCTGCTCTTGATTGTCTCTGAAAGGAAACTCCCCAAAGATTTCAGAAAGGTAAGTCTTACAGCAAGGAGGACAACACAGGGAACTATATGCAGGTCACCCTCACTTCCATCCTTGGGAAAACCACAGAGCAAGGACTCTTGGAAGCCCTCCAACCTGATAGGTCTATGATTTCCATCTAATTTTGTAGCCTCCTTAGGAAACAGGTAGTCACCTCCCAATGCAAGCTCTGAAACTGCAAAAATTCTCTCTCCTTTTTCATACCTGCAGTATCATTTCAGGAACATTTGTTCTGGTATATCAATCCCTAATCATTCCAAAATGCTACATCTGTAACTGGAGTCATGCCAAGGCCTTTGACATGCTGTTTGGGGGTGAACAAAATTACAGAAATCCAAAGGAAAAAAACACTAAAACTGAGAAACACATCAAAAGCTGGGCATCAAGACAATGCTGGAGATGAAGGAAAGCAAACTTTTGAGTTTTCTGTTCCATGGCACAGATGAATATACTGTTGCATTGTTTACCTTAGATATGCCTTTTCCTCTTCATTACTTTCACGTAAGAGAGCTGATTTTCCTTTGTCTCTTGTGTCCATGACTGGACAAGTACATTTCTCTTGAATATAACTTAGAATTATAATGCTATAATTGAAGGTGTTTGAGCTACAACACAGTTGTACTGGTAACAGTTCCAAGTACAGTAACTTACTCTATCTTCAAACATTCAAAAATACATTCCTTCCAAAAGCCTCCAAACTCTCATTGTAATGCTCAATGAAATGTTACAACACTAAATGCAGCAAAAGCAACCAAATACTAATAAAAATGTTAAAAATTACAACAACATATTAGAATAAAGGGCACATTAAGTACACTGGCATGTTATTTTAAATTGACACTTTAACGCTCAAAAAAGCTGTTAACAATTAAAAATACGTATGGAATGCTGTTCCCAACACACCCAAAGTAACGATCTGGGTTGGAAAACTAGCACTGGGGTAGGGAAAAGCAAGAAAAATGGGAGCTATAATAGCACACTAATAGAAAGATAAAATGACAATTACTTAGGACTGACAAAAGTATACGAATTTTAATGTGACCTACTGTTTTTTATGGATTAAAGACCAAAAAAATATTAAAAAGTTTCTGAAATTAGACTTCAGCATATGAAGTGAACACAGCTAAGAAGCACAAATGACTTTTTTCTGTATGCTATATCTATTTCTAATCCTTTTGCAACTATTATCCAAATTTCATGATCACATATTTAACAACATAATTATTGACATTATTTTAGTTCTCTCCATAAGATTACGCTGACTCCACCACTCATTTAATTGCACTCTGATTCTGAAGGCAGGCAGAACAGACTTTTTTTTTCTAAGCTTCAAGAAATGTAACTCAATCCTCACCAATATACAAATACCATATTGGGCACTAGTGTTGATGAATGGATTCCAAACTCAAAAGAGATATCCACTGAAAAGAAGGGATAATTTAAAAAAAAGCAGTATCAGCAGTAATATGATCAGCAATAAACTACCTCTACACTCCAATGTACTTGCTGTGGACTAACCAAACCATAGATGGCAGAGAAGTGTATAGGTATAGCACATCTAAAAAGGAGAACAAATGATATCACATCAGCATGATGTCACCACATCAATAGCATCTTTCAACCTTCAGATTTGTTAAGTGGGAAACACTAATGGGTCTTCTCTGCAGGTGGTTTATCTATGCATTTTGATCAGCGAGTAGTGTAAACATTTTACAAGATTTTCACGTCAAATCCAATAAAACTGGGTTGCAATAAATCTTACATATGGTTGTCCCATATACAGGTGCAGAATTTTACAACCTGCTGATGAAATACCTCCTTAGTGCTGAAGAATCAAATCTCTGTTGCAAGCATGCTTCCTATTGGATTGGGCAGACGTGCCACACCTCTGCATTTTTACACTTTGGTACTTACATACGCCATGACCTGTCTCACTTGCATGTCTGCTCTGCTCGGCAACTACCAGCTGTATCTCTCTGGGAAAGTACGAAGAAGAGCTCACCCCAGCTAATTTTTGTTCTAGCTCTGCATTCCATACCCATTTTCCATTCTGCTGCATGTGTGTCTACTGTAGCAACCTAGAGAATTGCAGATTTCTGCCATTGTTCAAGTCTGATACATACAAAAGAGTTCAAAAGCTTTTCATCAGGAGGTCATAACTCCAGTAGGGTATTACAGATTCTATTAGCCAAGTCTCACTCAACCTCTCAAAAGATCAATTTAACACCCCTAAAAAGATTAGTAATTACATCTGACGCTAACTCAGATGTTTTTAAAATAGAAGCCCCTTAAAACTCAAAATACCCACAGCAATGGCATCTAAATATAGAATGGGGTTCAGTACACAAAAATAATTAAAAAGTGATGTTTCATGTATTTGAAAGTTAGTGGATGAAAACCTATGGTCTGCAGCATCATGGAGAACTTTCCATCTTCAGTGCAGCTGTGATTTCAATGCTTGTGTATCCTGAGTAAGTGCTCTTTAATTCTTAAAGCTTGAGGGAAATCTTTCACTCAAGGAAGAAGGACAAATTTATCACCAGGAATGTGACAGTAAAACTGCTGAAACAATACAGGTACATTTCAATTCACACAACAGGTTCACATTGCCCAATGATACTGGAAATTTTTTTTATAAAAAAAAAGATTAGCACTAAAATTAGTAGTTATATTCAATATTAGTAAAACTATCATTTAGCAAACCTGTTTCAAGGGCTCCATCACAGCTGATGCTGTGCAAACTTATGAAAGATCAGCAACAATCACATAAAATAATAGTCTGAAGGGGAAAAAGCATAGAATTTGTCAATAATTTAATTTCTAGAATCTAGTGGTTATTTCATTAACAAAAATACTCAAACACTTTCCATAAAATGAACATTTCTAGTAGCAGCTTTAAGAAAAAACCAAAATTGTTCTGTTTTCATTCAGAAATTACCCAAGTGATTTATTATAAAACTATCCTAAACACTCTTCCTTACATATGAGGCTTATCAGGGGAATTTTGAAAATACAGGTATTTTCTTAAATTTGCTTTGAGAAGAGCGCAGAGCAGGACACTTAATTACTCTCTTAATTTTTGAGTAAATAAAAGCTACAAACAAAGAGAAAATCAATTTGGTTTCAGTTTTACTGTTTGCATATAATCTTAATATATATTAACCTAGGAAATTGAATTTCTTTTAATGATAGTTGTAATAAGCTGAAACTTGCCGAGGACAAGCTACTGAACTGAAACCATGATAACCAGGTAGTTTAAGCAGAAGTCTGAGCATGCAAAGTTCTGAGGTTTTCTTCATTTTATTAGAGTCATGTGAGTAACATTTTTTGACACCAGACATGTAGACAGGTACATGTGTGATTCCTAGGTTTTCCCTTTTTTTTCAGGAAAAAAGGGAATAGTAGCAATAAAATTACAGAAAATTAGACTGAGATTGTACATCAGGAGTTTAGTATGACAGGCCAATGCTCCCAGACAAAAACACTGAAAGTAGTACTTGAACATGCTTAAAGGAAAAAAAATGTGCTTTTCTTTCTCCTGACAGCTAAGCAACTAAGCACTAGGACTGAAACCAACACTTCAGCTGTTCCGTTACCTTTTGTTAAGTAACACTATTCTAGCTCAATACGCTTTCAAAAAAAAAAATACTCATTGAAAGGGTAAATTACTAATCCTAAACCAAAATCTTGACAGAAAACAAGTGCAGCTGATGGTGTCTATCCAAACTAATATCTATATAAAACCATTATAAAATTAGCTGTGTGCCATTTCACTGGTGATTCCTTAAAGCTCATAAACTTATACTTGTACATACTTGACCATATAGGTCTTTTTAATTGTTCATTTCCATGAGAATACCAGGCATAGCATGTCACCTAGGTAAAAAGACGTTTCTGCTTATTATCATTGCCTTTTCAGATGACATCCATCATGTAGCTGAAATCAGAAACAGAAACATCAGTCTAAAATTTATGGCAGCCCTGCAAATTAATCATTTCCTATGTGTCTTTGCAAGAATGATCAATGGGTAATTTTGAAAACACGTGTAATTTTGATTTTAAAAAAAAAGAAAAATCAATAGACTGGTTAGGCACAGTCATACTAACACCTCTTTTTTTTTTTTTGTTAGGATCAAGCCACAGGAAAATTAGGGGGCACAATGTACCTACTAGGAATGCCCTTTGTTTATTACTACTCATGCCTACATATGGCAATACTAACACTTCTTGAAATTGGATTGAGGAAGCAGATAATTTACATGAAGAAGACAAAAATTAAAGAACAAAAATAAAGATACATGTACACACAGATAACTAACTTCAACACACAGAGGAGCTCAGTTCAGTTTGGTCATCTGTTTCCTGTCATAAACTTACTTTTTCCAGCATCACTGGCTCAAGGGTAACATAAAAGAAGACTGGCAAGACAATGGAAAATTATTACTATGTTGGACAACATTTTGTTCACCCTACAGCTGGTCCCAATGGGATCAGACACATAGTAAACACAAAAAGTATTTAGGTTTGCATCTTGGACATCAAGCTAGCTCCCTGCATAACAAGCTGCTAGAGTAACAACAACAGTTGTTCACTTACCAGGACCATGATGTCCAGTCACCTTGCTTAGGGAATTCTAGGCTCTATTCATTCCATACCATTTATATATATGGAAACATGTAACAAATTAACACCCCTAAAAATTAATATAATTGAGCTCACATTTCTAGAGGGAAGTATATGGCACAGAGCAGCAATTTAATCCATGGTAAATTAGCTATTATCAGCTGTTGAAAATACCTTCTCCTTTTTATGTCCTTTTTCATCTGCTTCTCTTCAGTTTTCAATAAACAAACTATGATTTTACCTCAAGGCTTTACTATTCATAGTAAGGTAACTCCATCCTTAGATGCGAGGAAGATTCTGTTCTCCTGAGAAGAAAAGAAGCCAGAGCCCACTGATGCCAACAGTGACAAGGTCACAAAGCAGTATTACAAATGCGATGCAAGTCTCACTATCCTGAAGCCATCAAGGTGATGGATATTCTATAGTTTGGCCCATCCAAGAAAAATGGGATGTCATGATGCATATAAACACAGCACTGGGGTTGCAGGTTTTCTCCCTTGCTTCTATAAATCTCTTCCTCCTGTGAAGCCTACTTCTATGTGGAGCAGCAGAGATAAAATAATTTACTTAAGTCACAAACAAGCAGCACCTGTGAGAAACTAAGTCATTAACATGAAACTAGATACTTTAGAAAATGGGAAGAAAATGCAAATGAAACAGAGTATTCAGATTCTTGTGTGACTTTAGCTGTTTTTCTTGACTCTGCTAAGTATCCAATAACCTCTTGGACCGTCCAAATAAGGCTCCTTCTCCACCTCTGTTTCCAAGAAATACTGGGTTTGCCTGTTAAAAAAGCCATTTTTATCTTCTATTCACATACTCCCTGTGGCACACATGCTCCCTGTGGCGCATCCCAAATGCATTCCTCCTCCATTTTCTGGTAGATCCAAAATCTTTACAGGCTATTGAGACAGATATTGTAGAAATTTTGAAGCATGTAACAGTACAGATTTTTGCTCTAGTGAAAGCTATTTATTATCGCATAGTATCAGACCATGCCAAATATTCAACATCACCACAATTAAAACGTTCACATTGGTACCCATTACCTGGAGCAGAGCATTGTGAAAATCTTTACCATAAACAGCATCAAAGTTTGCATCAGGTATCTCACCTTGATGAGTTCTTCCTTCAGCACAAAACGGTAATGAAGAGACATTTTCTCACTCCAGACATAGCATCTGGAGTTCTAAATAATTTAATACAGATAAGGTTCAGACTTGATACACTGCTATCTTAAAAACTGAGTTCTTTGGGCAAGTACAAGAGAAAATCCTGGAAGCAACTGGCATTGCCATGTATTTTATATTTGCTATATATTCTTCCAACCCTCCAGATACTCCTGCAACTGTAAAAAGTTGCAGAAAAAGTACTACGTCATTACCTACTGAAGTTATGTAAGTTATGAAATCACACCTACTGGCTTACCTTTGTGCTTCCAAATAAGTACGCAGCCTCCTTTAGTCTTCGCATTAAGAAAACCCAACTTTCTAGATTTTTTAGAGATATAAAGTTTCATGAAGAATAAAATATTTCAGGATCCTTTTTTTTCCTCCAATACCTCTTTGTTGTTTGTAGTTCTGTTTGCCACATGCACTGAAGATACGTTCAGTGACCAAACTTCAGATATATTTTAATTAATTCATTTCCCTTGTGTTAGTGTCAACAGATGATTTTAAATTAGCATAGAAAACTCCCTACTAATCAGAGCACAGAAGCATGTTTATTTTCATTTTACAGTAAGTTGTCTGTGGTTGATCTTTTCAAATGGTTCCACAACTGCAACTTTATTCAAATTTTAAACTGAAAATAAAATCAACGAAGATGATGTATATAGACACATGAACTGTCCTTAAAAATTTCTTCCAACAGCAAGTTTCTTAAGAATGGGAAGCAATACACTTCAATTAGCAGAGGTGGCAGTGAAATATCCATTTGCTAATGTCATCACTATCTCCCGCTATCTGGTCAAGAGAGAAACAGGGGTTTGCTTTCTTTAACTAAACACAGTTTCAAATGCCTGGTTACAGAATTCTTGTGTAATATTTAAAGAAAATTTTTAGGTCTTTTTAAAAAGATCAGTGAGTTAGAATACATTTTTCTATAAGCAGATTGATACCCAAAGTATTCTGATAAACTTTTAAAAATAATCTTCTTACAGTAGTATGGAATTCTTTGGCCAAGTCAAGCCACCACCTGTTGCACAGCCTTCTTCACTAACACCATAAATTCGATCTTTCCTGGTCCTTTAGTGATCTGCATTATTGGCTGATAACTGCTCTGCATATGAGCACAAATGCAGTTTTGAACTTGAATGCAGTTTTGAAGCAGCCAAGACAGCTTTACTAAAAAGGAAATCACCTTCCCATCAATGAGACCAACTTTTCTCTAAACCTTTGCAGATGGACATGATTCCGTTCACAGTCATTAGGTCCAAAAACTTCTCAGTAAGAGAACCAAAAGTTGCTTAATGACGCATGGCAAGTAAAATTTGCGATGATCTGCATGCAGTTCACTTTCTAAGACTTTTTGTGCTGCTTCCTTTTCCCAACGCAATGGGTTCAAGATGCCTGGTTCCCAGCTATGTTTGTATCTGCTGGATGTCATTACGTGCTGAAGATTTATGTTCAACTTCAAATCAAATGCAAGTTTCACACTCTAAGTAGGGATGCCCACAAACATATTGTTCTTTGGAGAACAACTCTCTGGCTCCATAGATATAACTTGGACAGAGTAGTTACGTTCTTCTGCAGCCCGTGCCCGATCCAGATCTACAAGGCCCATACACTGCTTTCCTAAAATGAGAGCAAAGGAGAGCATGGAAAAGCTAAAAATGTAGAAGCATTATCAGATACATGCACTTCAATATTCAGTGTTAAGAAAACACATCAGTAAGCCATCTAAAAAATAAGTTCCAAATCTACTTAAAAAAACTATCTTAATCTGTTTTACTTCAAATAGACAGTCATCTGTGACTTGTAACCCTCATTTAGCAAAGAGCATGAGAAGGATTAACTTTATATATGGAGAAACATAGCAGGCACTATTTTTAAGTATTTTCAAAACTTACAGAAAAACCCATGCATTAACGTAAAAGCCACAGGAAGAAAAAAAAATGCCTAGTTTACCCCTTAGCTCTCTGAACTGCCAAACTTCTATTCCCTTTATAACCATAAAGGTCTTCCTCCTGTACTTTCATCTAAAAATCTCTGGTTATTGAATACCAATAAGACTAAAATACCAAACAGCAATCCAGTGTAATTGATTTGAGGCATATGGATATATCTGCTTATAAACAAAATACTAAATTACTAATGAAAACTAATCTTATTTCAGATTTAACTGCAGAAAAAATGGGAAGGATAAATTGAAGGGGTTTTTCTGCTTAAAAGTTTGTATTGTGATACAGCCATGCCAAGATGATGGGGCCATTTGCCTTTACATATTTACTCATTATAATTTATTATTATGTTCTGAAATACAGAACTGATTTGTCAGATCATATTTTCAGCAGTTTGAAACTCTCTTGCCAGAAAGATTTAGCACTTCCCTGAAATGGTTTATCACTAATAAGAGTTTCAAGTCACAAACAAGGCACAATCCTGCTTCAGTCTCAAAGCCAACGATCCTACGTCTTTTCTTGTTCTGAACAGAATTGTACAGTTAAATATATTTGGGATCTGAGATGGCACCAAGATGGGTGGGAGTGTTGATCTGCTGGAGGGTAGGAAGGCTCTACAGAGGGATCTGGACAGGCTGTATCGATGGGCCGAGGACAACTGTATGAGGTTCAACAAGGCCAAGTGCCAGGTCCCGCACTTGGGTCACAACAACCCCATGCAACGTCACAGGCTTGGGGAAGAGTGGATGGAAAGATGCCCGCTGGAAAAGGACCTGGGGGTGTTGGGTGACAGCCAGCTGAACGTGAGCCCAGGTGAAAGAGTGTGGCCAGCAGGACTAGGGAAGTGATTGTGCCCCTGTACATGAGGCTGCACCTCAAATATTGTGATCATTTTTGGGTCCCTCACTACAAGAAGGACATTGAGGTGCTGGAGTGTGTCCAAAGAAGGGCAACAAAGCCAGTGAAGGGTCTGGAGCACAAGTCTTCTGAGGAGCAGCTGAGGGAAGTGGGGTTGTTTAGTCTGGAGAAGAGGAGGCTGAGTGGAGACCTTCTTGCTCTCTACAAGTGCCTGAAAGGAGGGTGTAGCGAGGTGGGTGTCAGTCCGAAGCAACAAGCGATAGGACAAGAGGAAATGGCCTCAAGTTGCGCCAGGGCAAGTTTTATTGGATATTAGGAAAAATGTCTTCACTGAAAGGGTTGTTAAACATTGGAACGGAATGCCCAGGGAAGTGGTTGAGTCTTCATCCCTGGAGGTATTTAAAAGATGTGTAGATGCGATGCTTAGGGACATGGTTTAGTGGTGGACTTGGCAGTACTAGGCTAACAGTTGGACTCAATGATCTTAAAGGTCTTTTCCAACCTAAACGATTCTATGAAGGGAAGAGACAGGAGCACTCATTCTGTTTACCACCAGGATACAAGTCTGGCATTCCTAACTACCTTCTGGAACTGCCTGCCTCTCCCCCCTGAACATATACAGAGCTTGAGTGCCTGTATCATTACAAGCCTTGCTATGCATGCTAGGTGCCTGGAGAAGTTTTGGGTAGGCAACACTAACATGCCCCCCAGTATCCCTTTATTTCAGATCAGCTGGTACACATCCCACTTTAACACAGCATTCAGACTATTCTGTCTGTCCACAGTGAGCCTATGGCCAGAAGAATTTTATCCTTCTCAGCTGAATTCTTTAGTTACAAAAGAAATTCCCGAATTTGACTTCACCAATATTATGACATTTGGACTCCGTTCTGTTGGTAGCTTGGAATTTGAGAGGGGTAGTAATTGGGTAGGAGACAATATAGAGATAAAATAGTAAGGGTTAGGCCTGAAAAAGAACTTTCCAACTGAGTCTTGTATGGATTTATATGTTTCAGGGGAAAATCACCAGTTTATATAACCAACCAGGATAGATTTCCATAAATTACTTCTTGTGGCACTATCTCCTACATTTGTGGTTTAACAGAAAATCACTTTCTGTGGTTCGTTAAACAGAATGGCATGTACATGCTCCTGCCACTGACAGCAGTATCATTATTATTCAAAGTGTACACACTAAGGGGGAGTTGGGTTTGGGGCCTGGTTCCCTGGGTGCTCTCAGTAAGACTGTGTGAGATGCATGGAGCAGTTCTGTGATCAGGCAGAATAAATTAGGTGCGTTGTAGCCATGTTCACAAAGCCATTCAGTATGTTTGCACTCAGGTCCCACTGCTGCATATAGCGGATAGAACACACATGTCCAGTGAAAATGGGAAACAGAACTTTGTTCATTTGAGAAGGAATTGCTGCATGTAGCAGAACTGGGTTCAAATGCATATTTTTACATTCACAGATACTACAGAAATTGGTAATAACTCTTCTGACGAATGTGTTGTTTCAGCCATGGCAGTCACAAACAGAATGCTGTACTTAGGTGGGGCTTACAGGTAATGAAACAAAATGATTTGCCACTTCACAGAAGCTGCATAAATTCAGTGGTAACTGCTAAAATACAATTTACAATACAATCCTTAAATACTCAAAAAGTAGCAGAGTGAGTAATTTTGCCACCATTTACAATAGAAAAGAGAAAGTCTCCACCTGTTCAGGAGTATTTTCATTAAATGAAACCCACACAGTTTTCTCAATACCTGATCATGCATTGCACAAAATTAAATTTAAAAAAAAAAAATGTCACCATGGCTGTAACACTGATCTGATTCAATCTTCAATTATTTGCAAGCAAAACTTAAAAAGTACCCCAATAAGATTCCCATAAAACCAGTTTCAGAGCTGAAAGAACACTGAAATGGGAATGATCTTCAATTAAACAGATTAGTATTACATGGAACTTAAAGAAGAAAGAACATTCTTTAACACAGAAAAGCAATGATGTAGGGGAAGGGAGATGAATAAGATTTATGGGGGTTTTTTTGTCAGAGCAAAGCACATAAAAGTTAAATTTGTAAAAAAATAAACATGCAGTTTCAGAGACAGAGAACAGATAAAAGTTACAATCTTTCAAAAAAGTTTTTTCAGTCCTTTTCCAATTTTCATTCCACCTGGCAAGCAGCAGGAGACAATGTGGGGTGCTACACTCTAACTGAACACTGCTCTTTTGTTTTATTTTTTCTAAATACTGTGATGATAGCAAAAGAGACAACAAATTTATTATAAAATTGTTATTGTTATCTTAGAATCTCTATTAGTTTCTTTTTGTGCAGTGAGTATAGGAAATACTTTGAATTTTTCAAATTAAGCTTTTTAGAAACACTGATTATTTGCTACTACTGCTTTTATATACTTTCTAAGTGTTTCTTGCAAGCCAAGAATGCACACTTACATCCTGAGAGTTCCCAGCCCCTTCTGTCTTTTCTGACCTGGAAGCTAGTTTATAGCTTCCATCAGAACATTAATACCAGACAGGAGCACGTTATACCCTTTTGTAAGCCAAAGAATACTAGAATACTGCACATAATGAAGAAATGGGTTTGCTTATTCCAAATATTTGAAGCGTTGTGTATTTTGCTGTCCTTCTGAGTAATCTTAATGATACTTTCTTGCATTTCTTTTCCTCAGAAATCATTAACACCTGACCAAGAAAGTAAAATCTCAGGGATCAACTTACTTTGGCCATTAATTGCACGGAAATGACCCAACAGAGGGCAGCTGATCTTACACAGAATGGCAATAAAGTACAAACCTGAAACAGAACTAACTCCCAAAAGGTAAAAATTGAGTCATGCACTGCTGTAGCTGTAACGTAAGTTTCCCCACAATGGGAAGGCTGGTACCCCAGGTAAGGGATAAGGCAAACTTTGTTCTTGGCAAAGTCTTCAAATTATAAATATTATTTACTACAATAAAAAAAAAAATCCCAGAAAACCTCCTGGGTTTTTTTCTAAAATTATGATGATGATCCTAATAACAAGGTGGGCCAAACAGGTTTGTCTGTTCTTAAGCCTGCCTGTACCAAAGCTAGGCCAACCTCTGCAATTTAGCCTTATTGATTCCAGCTGGCATTAGATTTTTGCCCTTCTAAGAGAGTTATCACCAGTGATTACAAGCCGGACAAAGGGTGCACACTGAAAATCACTTCTATGAATAGCCTGTGCTTTTACCATAAGATAAACCAGCAATAGCAGGACTTTACAAAGACCTCATTCTTTTCAGAGAACAGTGGGAGAAAAAAAAGGTGGAGCAACAAAAATCAGTAAAATGCAAATCCTCTATCTCATATGGATAGTTCTGAAAGAAAAGAGTGTCTATACCATAGTTCAGAACAGCAAGAGGCGAAATGTGAAGAAACTCAGATTTTTCAAGTATTATGAGAAGACAGCAACTTAATGCCCTGTTCATAAATGTACTACTTCTCCCTTTATGTATCAAGGTAAATACACTGAGACAGTTTACACAACAGCTGCAGAAATTCATACCAATTAGCCTGCGTTCAGGTGGAAGCTGAACAGCTGTCTGATCTGCAAATCTGCAAAGGATCATGTGCTCCTAGGAAAAAAAAAGTAAGGAAATTTGGTCCAGCAGCATTTCTCTCTTCCAAATAAAGTAAGAAAAATCTAATTAAATGTTTAAAAATATCAAATCCACTATCATGTTGAAGACTATACTTCTAGAAAAATTAACTGTATGCAGACCCTAAATTTGATACTGCTTTGGTTGTAAATATGTGTGTAAATGAAGCATTTGTAACCACAACCACATTTCTATTAAAGAGTATTTGTTTCTTGCTAAATTTTCTCAAATTCTCTGTAGCAGTTGCATTGGGTGCAATGTATACAAGATAGCATTCTTCAAAGACATACTGCAGACTAATTTTGCCTTCAATTACTGACAAGAAACACAGCCATCTTTTAGCACAGTCACTGTGGGGCACCATCAATGAGCAGCAACAACAAAATTCTAAAATAGGTGATTTGAACCACTGCACATCTCTCCCAAGCAGTGATTTTGAATCCCAGAAAGAATCGCCTTGCGGGTCAAACTTCCTCTGCTCCACCAAATCCATTCAGAATCAAGCCAAAAGATCCTGAAGGCAAAATTGATCCTGAAGGCAAAAAACACTTGGCTGCGAATAGAAAAGCTTCCTACATCAAAATGAGCACAATTGACCTTGAAACTATCCCTGTTCCACTTAAAGATTCTGCAGAAGCTTCTCCAACAGCTGCTGTTGATTTCTTCCTGTCCTGTCACCCAGGGTGCAGCGGAGGGCTAGCCCCCACCACCTCACTCCCTGCTTAGATCACTACACAAGCAGGCAGAACCCCATCCTCATTTGCCTTCAGAAAACACCGCCTACACTAGCATAATGGTTTCTCAAAGACCAGCCAAGCTAAGGAAGGCAAGTTAGCCAGATGGCAAGAGAAAAAGCCTCAAAGGTGTAGCAATGAAATTAATGCTCTGATGACAGCTGTGCTCTTTGGGACAGCTGCAATATTAAGTACAGGACAGAGTAAATCAGAACCAGTTTAGAACTGTACAACGTTCTCAAGTCTCCTATAATGTCACGGGGAGAAAAAGAAGTGGTCTGTTAAGCAAAGCTTCCAGAGCCATAGCTCTGAAAAAAGGGCATGTGTCTTGCATCAAACTTTTTTTTTTTTTTTTAAATTCTGGTCTGATATAAAATGATGATTTTAAAGGTTTGGATTCTGTAACAGATGGAGAGAGCAACTTCACACAGCTTCCTTCAGTATCCTGAAGTAAGGATATGGGGGACATAAATATCCAAAAGTCTTAATTTCACAAAAAACCTGAATGAAATCCCATCTTCATATTAAATCAAGATGGTAACTCTGTCCACAGTACACTCCACCCAATTCATAAATTTAACAGACACCTGACCACAAAAAAATTTTTCCCACATATTATAAAATAAAATATTGTTGCTACCTGATAGTCAAATATTATTCATTTAAATAAATTTACAGTATCTTGAGGCAGGGATATTTGCTCCCTAGTACAGCTCATTCACGTGAAGGTTTTCAGCTTACAGCTCCATAAGAAACACGCAAGCAAAATGAGAACATGTTATGACATGGTTAGGACTTAAATATTATGCCCAGTCAGTTCATTTCAAATATGGCTATTTTTGTAGTACAAGAGACCTGAAAGCGTTAAACCCAGATGTGACTGCTGGAGAATGGAGGAGAAGGAGAGCCACAGGCAATGTGGCTGCTGTTAGGAGAGAAGCAGCAGTGACAGGCAGCTAGGGAAGAAAAAGAGGGATTCAGAGGAGAGGGAGAAGATCCACATTAGCACAGAAGCCCTCACCAGCCAAGGTAAGCCTCACCACTTAACCTGAAAATCTGGACTGACTCTAATGCCTTGGCTTCTTACAGAGATGATCCAGAAAGTTAACCTAGAGCCTAAGTTATGACTACATTGTTTCCGCATGACACAGTCGTAAAATTGTCACGTTCCCTACTGGCAGAAATAAGAAAAGCATTTCTAGAATAATGAAGATAATTATAAACTGTCCAAACTTTATGTGTGCATAAACAGTTAACTTGCTTACTAGAACATCCACGCCTTCCATTCCTATTATGTTTTCAAAGCTGTATGTCCAAAGTTACACAGTTTTAATTTCCAGTTCTCCTATTGGGAGAGTGTCTTGACAAAGAGAGTCTCAAAATATTATCATGGCAGAAATCGGCTATCATAGCCTTATTATTTGCAGCTATAAAATAATGAATTACAGCATAATGTTCTCATCAAAAAAGTTTTGGAATTGCCAGACTTCTGGATGTCTTTTTAGATCTCACTAAAATGAAAGATAAGAGAAATGAATTTAAAATGGGAACTGGAGGGGGGTAACCCAATGTCTGGCTAACACATGGCAGCTCTGGCTACTAGCCAATAACCTGTAACAATTTATTAATATGAAATATAAAAATGCATATAGCTAGCTGTATAACAAAAGTTATTTATAACTAGGATTATTTAAGGCACCAACCAGCCTAGACCATTTGTATAGATTCTTACATTATTAAGAGCAGCAATATTTTTTAGCATTGTTCTTGGCCCCTGTGCCTTTCTGCAACACAAATAATAAAATGCTGGAACTTCTGTAGTGTTGATAAACCCTGTGATTTAAACCTCCATGGATTAACAGATTAAGAAAAAAATTCACTGATCTTTAATGAGATTATACACACTGTCCTAATCTAGGCATCCTTGACTTTATAATTATCACCATGTCCCTCTGCACTGTCAACAGGTCTACTTTTAATAATATGTAAGTAAATAAACTTTTTCTGAACTGAAACCTGAGTTCTCCATGATTATGTGTTAGAAACATAAAAATATGTTGAAAAGAGTGTTAAATCAAAGGGGGAAAAAAAATAATGGCAGATCCAAATCCACTGTGCCACTTCTATCATGTCAATCTGTGGACTTTTACTTCCATGTAAATTAGTAAAGTGTACATGAACCAGACTGTCATGAAGATAAGATCAGTCTATTACCAGGTAACTGAACTTCCCTATATAAGATGGATAAAATTTTCTTCATTTTTTAAATGCCCTCTTATTTGAGGATTAAGAAGGATAATATCCATTTTCCTGCTACATATAGCACCTTTGCTACACTAGCTGTCCCAAAACAATTTGGATATTAGAAATACCAATCTCTCATATTTCTGTTACAAATTATATATTCTGCATCTTCAAAATTTATTTTCTGTATTGTAAACACCAAGACCCTAGTCTAGGATTTGGGATGTAAACTTAGTAAAGTTTCCATATAACCTTGCTTCTCTCCAATGGAATAATTTTCTTTCCATGCCACATTAAGTGCATCTAATCTTCAAATTTCTGGTTGCTCATCACTAACTAGTTTAAACATGCTAGACAAAGCTTAACAGATCAGTACCAGTTGTCTGCTGTCCACCTCTCTGCTCTTTTCCTTTTTCACTCCCCTGTTATCTGTTGTCTTCATTCTGTCAGATCTGCATGCCTCATTGATTCTTTCTCCCACTTTTCTCTCAGACTATCTCCACACAGACCCTTGCTCCCCAGGGTCAAAACACATTTCAATATTTTTGGAATAATCTTGAGTAATGTTTTTAAAACAATACTGTATAAAATTCTTCCTGACGAGTATGAGTTCTTTCTACTCACTATGTCCAATTTTCTAGACGTAGAGGGAGAAAGCTAATGTTTATCAGCAAATAATATCTATAAAACCAATCATTTTACCTAAAAAATGATCAGACATTTCCACAGTGTAAACAGTTGTATGTAAGACCTAAAAAAATTGGTAACCTGTAACTGTTAACTAATACATGTTGAAGTATCTTAGGAATGGCTTGCTTACACATTATGATAAAAAAGTTCTTTTGTGGAGAAACTATTTAATTTTATTGAAGAAAAAAAGGCTTAACAAAATGGATGGTGGAGAGAAAGCAACACAACGACATCTGCACTTCTAATGAACATTTCACATAACACATACTCCTCCTTGCAATTAAAATATAACCTCTGATATTTCACTTGATAAGAAGATCCAGTGAAATGCAGGAAACTGCACATAACCCTCTGCCTGCCCCCCGTCCCTTTCCTTTTACATACCTTGTAGGACAAAATTTCTTTGAACTGATGACTGAAAAAAAAAAAAATAGAGCAATTCAATTAAAATCTAAAAAAGCAGAGGTGGAAAATAGAAGCAATCATTACATACTTGAACACATTTTAAACAAAACAGTAATATCTGTATCCTACAGAAGGGCATTCAAAAAAACCAGAAACCATTACAGTTCCAGTTCACTAGAAAAGTTAAAACATTTTTGCTGTCTTCTTTTCTTTTTCTATTGTAATATTCATAAAAAGTCTCTCCTTAAATCATTATAATTGCTAACAGAGATTTACTGACGCTTCCACATTGTCACATAAATACTTTACATTACATGTACACAGCTTCTAAGACATGCATATATTTTGTTTGTATCACAAAAGTAAGGTGCCTCTACAATGGAATTGAGCATAGAACACAGGCAATATGGGGATATGGGCAGGCTATCATGTTTTATGATCATATAAAATAAGGAAAAAAGAAAAAGCAAACCCTAAAATGCAGCTTGAGCTAGGGTTGATACGTTATGAACTAAACTTTCTACATAGGCTTACAACGTTAGATTCAAAATTTTAGCAAACACAGAACCATAATTTATACTCTTGCAGCATCTACAGCAACAAAAGTTTTCTAACATAGTGAGCATTTCCAGACTTCATGATAAAAACGTAACTGGTCAAAGTTAAACAGTATCCAGCCAATTTTAAAACAAGTCAACAGAGAAAAGCTATGTGCCTGCTAACTTGAGAAGGCTTAAAATTTTATTGCCTCTTCCTTAGGAATATTTACTTGTTCTACTGTGTCACAAGAGAAAACAAAAAGGGACACACAGAGTTGGAAGAATCTAATTGACTAAGAAAACACTTAAATGAAAAGTTTCTCAAACTGACGAATTCTAAATGTATACTCTCCGTGCACACTTAGATATTATAGAAAAATATTTAACATGGATGCATAAGTTTTTTTTAGATTTGTTGATTCCTTTTAAGACAGCATGTTTCAGTTTCTTATTTTAGCAAATATAGACCTAAGACAATGTTGTAATTCCTAGCAGAATTAAATCTGATTCATCTTGGACATCCAAAATGCAAAGCTCAGCTTCATGAAAAAAAAACCCACAACCCTCTTCCCCTATCTAGTTCTGCTTCAGAAAGCTGTTAGCCTCTTATCTTCTGCCACTTTATGCTTACCTTTTACATTTCATTTATATCAAAGGCATTAAAATTCGTAGGCCTAAGATATATAAGCATCTCCAACATTGTGGAGTAGAAGACAACGAAATACCTACACACTCCATTGAAAAAGTATTAAAAATATGAACTGAAATACAGGAGAGCTTGTCTTCTTGGGAATAAATCAAAATAGTTTCACAAGCAGTAAACTGTGGTATAAAGCAGACCCATTTCTTTAAGCTGATTACTTACATCTTTTTCCAACATTAAAATGTCAATTCCCCTTCTTACAGTAATTTTCATGAGTTTTCTATTAACTTTGTGATTTCAAGGTAAAAGGTCTACGCATTACATAGATTCCCACATACTGTATCTACTATGTTGACGGTATAAAAGTCTTCTGAACTATGGATAGATAAATCCAGAAAAAAACAACCCAGGAATTACCAATCTGTCTCCCTTTCAGGATGGGTTTGCAAAGAGAAACAGGAAGAATCAGTTGCATTGTAACTGTGAACCAGTTTAACCTAGAGACTTGCAATCATCTTCAATTGATTAATTCTATACTCCTCTAGTATTTTCTTCCTTTATTGAAGTTGATTTTTTAAAGCTTATTTGTTAGCTTTAGTTTACCTTCGTGGATATTTAAACTTCACTGTGTTTTGAATGAAGCCGTAACAACAAGGGGAGATGACAAAAGTTGCTCGTGCCTTGATGCAGTGTTCGATCACCATGTCTGTTGCCACACCACATGCATGCAGAGCCACCTACAGTGTTAAAAACAAAAACCAAAGAAACAAGCAAATTCGTTATAGCAATATTCTACATACGATTCTGCTGCAGTATTTTTCGGTTGACTGAGTTACTCAAATATACGAGGAAGTTTTTGCAGTAAAAGCTGTTACATCAAAGGCCTGGTCCTTAATTCCTCAGATTTTCATTCCTCTCCTTCATATCTATGCTGAGGAAAATTTATGGCCTACTCCATTAACAAGGGAACCATTAACACTGAGCAAGGGTCACTCACCAAAAGTACTCAAAAGGTAAGTACACTGCATTGTGATATCCAATCCATTAAAAACAAAGCTCCAGGAAAATATTAAAAGAAAAGCTACTGTGATGAATAGTCAAAAGATTTGTCAAGCAAAAAGGACTTAGAAATACAAAGAACTATTTCAACACTGGATTTCAACTTAGCAGTAAGAGAAATAACAGATAAACCTGAAGGTCACATTTAAAGGACAACATTTAAACATAAATTTTGATCACTTGATTGTAAGGTATTGAGTAAAAAGTTTACAAAACAAAGGGGGTGGGGAGAAGCATCAAATACAACTTGCCTTCCTCTTCTTTTTTTTTCCTCCTTATTCTTGTCTTTCTTTTTCTTAGTGATGCGTGCTCAAACTAAAACTAGAATGCCATTCAATCACAACAGCTGCCTGCAAGCATTGATATGTGTTTGGGCAGCACACAAGTTGTACCCAAATTCTTCATGCTCTACTACAGAAAGGCAAGTTCTTGCTGTACTCAACATATTGCAAGGAAAGGCAAGCAGCTGTCTCCTATCGATACTGGTGATACCAAGTAGGCCAGGTGAAATGGAGGCATTACTTTCTCTGCCTGCTTTCATGTATTCAGTAGCTCAAAGGGTAGGTCTCATGCATACACACTCATCCATGCTTTCATTAAACAAAGGACATTTGAGGCACATTTTTAATTTCATGCAGCAGTGTGGATTTGTAAAACTGCATTGTTTTCTTTGCTTTTTGTTCACTGTAAATTTAGGAAAAAGTTTTAAAACCGCAAAGCTCAGATTCCAGGGTTCAAAGTTGGTTTTCAAGGTACAGCAATTGGAAGATAAAAACTTTGCTCTCAGATACAGATTAAAACAAAGACTTTTTTGTTTGCAGACTGCTTGATGTAAGCTCAGCTGAGCAGACCATTAATCATCAACTGAACTATAACTGCATACAGATGGTAACAAATATTCTTGTCTCAAGCAGAACATTAAAAAATTAATAAGAAAATAATTTCACAATGAAAGTTTTCTTCTTGTATGAAATTAACAAAAAAACCCCTAGTTTAACATCAGAAATAGATTCTTAATATCACAGCTATTAAATTATCATGGAACATAATTATAGTTAGTTCTCCATCTACCCAAGAAGAAAACAAAGACCTCTGCTTTGCTTGCACATTTGGAAAAGAGACCTTAAACCAGCAGTGGATAAAACCAGAAGCTTTGCTGAGACTGAAGAGAGCAACAGAGCTAATGCAGTGTGAGACCACTGCCCTGTATTACTCCTCCAGTGCTGCAACTCCCCAGAACAGCCTCATGCACACAGAAAAGTGAAGGGAAAAGAATGTTTCATGAAGCCTCAGGTTCACTTTAGTCATCTTAAAAAGAACTCTACATGCTCAAAAATGTACTCCCTCCAATCAAACCTTAAACTTTTCAACTTGTTCTCACAAATTAGCTGAGATACTAGGAGTACTATGTAATTATTTAAAAACAACTAAGATCTCAAAGACTCCTCTGGGTGCTGGCATGTAAATGAACACTGCATGCAAATATTTGGAAAGCTTTACTTTTAGATTGAAATCCTTTATTATGGCAGTTTTACATAATAAACCATCATTTATTATGGCAGTTGTACTACAACATGTAATATTACAATGTAATAGTAAGTTGGGCATTCAAACAGGTTGTTTCAGAACCTTGATCTTTGTTACCCCAACAATTCGTACGGGCAGAAATTGTATGTGGAACAAAAGGGAAGCAGTCGACACATTTGTCTTAACCTGCTTTTGAACTCCTGGCAGATAACAGATTAGAAAATAGCCAAGTAATGCAGATTTGATGTCAAGGTAACTAAAATGCATATAAACATGTTTTAAATTAATACCAAAAGCAGAGAGATGAAGACTTCTGTCGTGTTCTTTTTTTCTATACCTCTTTAAATTTCAAGTACTATAACCAGTGATTATCTTGTCATCATGTCCACCCTCACATTTACACGTTATTGTTTTACTGGAAATGATGAAGTCATGCAATGGATGAATAACTTTACAAGCCTCAAAAGATGGGTTCAGACATAATGTATTGCCAGACTTTATATGCATCTATGTATTATGGTACTATATTGTAATTTTCATACCAGACCAGTGTTTATGACATAATCATAGAATCATTTAGGTTGGAAAAGACCTTTAAGATCATCAAGTCCAACCGTAAACCTAGTACTGCCAAGTCCCGCTAAACCATGTCCCTAAGCACCACATCTACATGATACAAAGACAACTAAACTTTACATAATTTACCTTCAAACACACGAAAAACATGTGCTACTGGTCAGTAAACCAACCAGTTCCTATCTTAAATGTGGCTGCATAAGAAAGTTAATCCTGAGTTAATGACCTCACTCTGAAGAGTGAATCATGGTATGATGCAAACTACTTCTGAAGCCGACATTGATGCAGGTCTCCCAAAAGGAAGAGCTCCAGGTTAGTCTGTTGAACAGACTACAGAATCAAGTCAAAGAAACTGAAATCACAGGCCTGGAAATGAAGAATTTCCAAGTGAATATTTCTCACATATACTTCAATGTTTTCTTTGCGACAAAACTTAAAAGAGAGAATATAACACTTTTTTGTGCTCCCTGGGCAGCCTGTTCCAATGCTTGACAACCATTTTGGTGCAGAAATTTTTCCTAATATCCAATCTAAACCTCCCTTGGCACAACCTGAGGCCATTTCCTCTTGTCCTATCGCTTGTTGCTTCGGAGAAGAGACTGACACCCACCTCGCTACACCCTCCTTTCAGGCACTTGTAGAGAGCAAGAAGGTCTCCCCTGAGCCTCTTTTTCTCCAAGTTAAACAACCCCACTTCCCTCAGCCGCTCCACATCAGACTTGTGCTCCAGACCCTTCACTGTCTTTTTGCCCTTTTCTGGACACGCTCCAGCACCTCAATGTCTTTCCTGTAGTGAGGGACCCAAAACTGAACACAGTATTTGAGGTGCAGCCTCATCAGTGCCGAGTACAGGGGGACAATCACTTCCCTACTTCTGCTAGCCACGTGGTTTCTGACATGAGCCAAGATGCTATTGGCCCTCTTGGCCACCTGGGCACACTTCTAGCTCACATTCAGCCAGCTGTCAACCAGCACCCCCAGGTCCCTTCCCACAGGGCAGCTTTCCAGCCACTCTTCCTTAGGCCTGTAATGTTGCATGGGGTTGTTGTGACCCAGGTGCAGGGCCTGGCAGTTAGCCTTGTTGAACCTCATAGAGTTGGCCTTGGCCCATCAATCCAGCCTGTTGATGTCCCTCTGTAGAGCCTTCCTACCCTCCAGCAGATCAACACTCCCATCCAAGTTGGTATCATCTGCAAACTCACTGAGGGTGGACTCGATCCCCTCATCCAGACATTAAACACAACTGGCCCCCATACTGAGCCCTGAGGAACACCACTTGTAACAGACTGCCAACTGGATTTAACTCCATTCACCACATCTCTTTGGGCCTGGCCATCCAGACAGTTTTTTACCCAGCAAACTGTACACCCATCCAAGCCATGAGCAGCCAGTTTCTCCAGGAGAAAGCTGTAGGAAATGGTGTCAAAGGCTTTTCTAAAGTCTAGGTGGACAACATCCCTATCCTTTCCCTCATCCACTAAGTAGGTGACCTTGTCATAGAAGGAGATCAGGTTACCCAAGCAATATCTGCCTTTCATAAACCCATGCTGGCTGGGCCTGATCACCTGGTTGTCCTGTACGTGCCACGTGATGGTACTCAAAATTATATGCTCCATAACCTTCCCCATCAGCAAGGTCAGGCTGACAAGGCCTGTAGTTTCCCAGATCCTCCTTCTGGCCTTTCATGTAGATGGGCATCATGTTTGCTAACCTCCAGTCAACTGAGACCTCCCCTATTTGCCAGGACTGCTGATAAAGGATCGATAGTGGCTTGGTGAGCACTTCCACTAGCTCCCTCAGCACCCTTGGATGGATCCGTTCCAGTCCCATAGACCTGTGTGTATCTCAGTGGTGTCGCTAACCATTTCTCCTTTGATTATGTGGCTTCATTCTGCTCCCTGTCCCTGTCTTCCAGCTCAGGGGGCTGGGTATGCCAAGAACAACTGGTCTCAAGTATACTTTACACAATGAATAGACATGTATATCACTAGCATAACATTCTCTTTGTCAAGATAGTTCCTTCTCAGTTTTGCATCATGTAGTCTTGAGTTGTATGCTTTATCTTAAAATGCTTCTACTGTCACCTAACTATACTTCTGATCTCACTTTATTGTACTCAGGCTTAATCTGAGCAACAGTAGTCTTCTCTTCCCGTTGTCAAAACCTTCTCCAGAGTATATCTATTAAATCACCGATTTTAAAATAACATGATTAAACCAACAAACTATCCTATTTTTTCTTCAACATGGTCAGGCAGCACTCCTATTTCTGTATTTGATTGGAACAGACACTTCTTTCTTCACTCGTGTAATAAATCAATACAGGTTACTGTAACTATGGTGCTTCTCATAGCATCAAAAATACCTGTTGGTAAGGACATATAGAATTTTCTTTTCTCAGATATATTAGTTGTTTTAGTAATAATTAATCAGACACTGAAGTTTCGAAGTGGAAAACTTATAATCACTTACCCCAATGTTAAAAGTCCCATTAAAATAGTCCAAATTTGCTTGAATGAACGAAATGTTGTTTAAACCCAGTTCATCACTTCTGTCTTTAGCACGGATCAGGGACAACTCCTTATTTTCTATGAGCACCACCTAGATTTCATACACAGGATAAAGTAAGACAAAATGTTACTGAGAAATCAAAGTACAACATTACCAACAAGCACAAAACTTTGCAGTTTAGTTGAGAAAAACCTCTAAATTACTTGTGGCAGAGCTTGAGATCTCCAAAATTATTAGCAGGAAACCCAACAACAATGGGTTTAATACTTGCCAATATCAATTGGCTTGCAAATATTTTATATTTTCCTATAACATTTATTTTCTCAGGCAAGCACTGCATACATTTACAATTATGCTAAAAATGTACATGTTTAAAATCTAAGGCCTCTGCTGAGACAATTGTGTCTTCATATTCATACTCCCTACATGCACATCTTTTTAAGATGATTATCAGAGACCAAAAGCTCCTACCATCTGTACCTTATACTTAGAAATTACCTGACATGATGGCATCATGTGAGCAAGAACAATTCCAACATGGCCCTGTGAAAACGAAAACAAACAACAAAATCTGAGTCACTTTTCATTGTCCCTGTTGTTGACTTAATACATGACGAGCATCCCCCAACCAGTGACAGAATCTTTGAAAGCAGCTAAAATTTCAGCACTGGTACTTTTGCTTTGCAGCAGCAACCGCCTAGAAGTGCGAACATGAAAGCTGAAAAAAATTGCATCATGTAAACAAAAATATACATTACCCCTCCACTGCAAAAATCCACAATCACATCTCCAGGCTTAGCAAGCTTTGTCACCACTGCTACCAAATTATTCAATTGCTGCTGCTTCCTCAGAGCCCGGTCTCTAGACATCTTTCCTGGGGATGACAGAGAAAATACCTAAGCAATGATCAGCAGTTTTAAACGGGTAACAGCAAAGCACTGCAAATGAAATTTATGGCAAAGACTAAAAGCTGGCTGGGACACTTAGGCATCTTGTTTTTAAAAGTTGTACTCCCTCTCCTGTCAATTTTCACTTTTCATAATAAGCAGCCCTGTTTATTTAAATGACTGTGTGCAGGGAGGTACTTCTCAAAGTGACTACTCCTGCATAGCAAAGTCTGGCTTTCTATCACATCTGTAACACAACCAGAAATGGAAAAACCATTGATTTCTTTCAAACGCGCTTAGTAAAGTCCATCATACAGTTGCTTCACTTACATATTTGTAAAGATGCCTTTTGTCTCAGTGGGGCTAAGAGAGTGCTGACAGACCTATTTAATCTTTTTGTTTGTTCAGAAAGCAGAGTTTGACATAGGTATTGACAGTAAAAATATTCATGAGCTCATCCTTATAATAAGAAAAAAGGTACTGAAACAACTGTCTTGAATGAGTTTTCATTAAGGAGGTTTAGGTGTACCAAACAATCTTAATGTTCTCTGAAATATGAATGTGTTTCCTACTTGGAGCACCACATAGTATCTGAGCATGGGCACTCTCCAGCTTTGTATTAAATTCATCAACTTTGTCTATTAAAAATACATTTTTCTCAGTACTGAGGAGTAGTTCAGAATAAAACCCCAAAATCAGGGAAGTTTCCTGGTTACTACAAAAGCAGTTAAATTATCATCATCATCAATTGCAATTACTATACAGCTTATTATATTTTATTGTAAATAACATCTCACTTTACAAATAACCCATCAAATTCAACAAACTCATCAGATAAAATGATCACTACATTGCTCTGGGTAGAATGAGGAAAAAAAAAAAATCACTTTTCGAGACATTACATTCTATACTTTCAGGGCAAAGACAAGACAAAAACTGACAACAAAAGGCTGAGTTCATTCTGCCCAGTTATTGCATAGACAGTCATTTAAAAAAGCAGAGTAATCACTTAAAAAAAAATATTCCTAGGTGACTGCATTGCATGGTGACATATTTAAACACGTACTACTTCTTAATGGAAATTAAGAGATTGAACACAACCTCCTCACTTCTTACCAGCTTTGTAAGTACAAAATAGCACATTTTATAAAAATAAAACCACTGTTACATTTTGAACATTTTTTACACTTTGTGAAAGTTACCATAAAGAAGAAAATTGAACTTTCTAATGACAAAGATGTATACAAGGAGTGTGGATATAAAACCTTTACAACATTATGTAAAATGATAAATACATTTTAAGGAATCATCCCTTTCACATGAGTAGATCCTTGGAAAAAACTTTTATCAAAGACTATACTGGAAACCCTAACTCCTTGTGCACCAAATATCTATGTGAACTGCTCCATAGCTTGCTTCTAATTTTCACGCTTCCATTTGATAAACTAATGTTCAAATGTTCTCAACACCTGCAGTTCTAACTGAAGCCAGTGGAAGACGTGGGCATTCCAGCATGTGCAAAATCAAGTGCTGCCACGGTGTTTGAGCTAGAAATTCAGCTTGTGAGGTCAAACCTATAATTTGTTAGGTAGACAGGAATGGCAATATTAATACCTAGAGAATTCTATACCTAAAAACCCATACAAATATGCTCTCTGTGTACATGTATGCACATACATGCACACACAATCACAGTGGATTGTTTTGAGTTTTAAAAAGTAGCTGTTGTCCTGTGCATAGCTTTAATCTATCTGAGGACACCTGAGCAATAAATGAATCAAGAAATCAAGAAATACAATTTATATTTGTCTGCTATATCCCCCACACCCGAAACAGAGTTGTGGCAAGGGGGGCACGAATAACACGGAGGGACTTTTACGTTGATAATACAGGCTACTACTTGGGTTTGTTTTCATCAATCAACAGATCTTACTTGTTTTGTTTCAATTGTTTCAGTTCTACCTGATAAAGCACTTAATAAAATAGTTGCTTCTCTAAACCAAAAAAGAAATGACCAGATGCCTTCCCCTTTTATGGAGGCAGCAAGAAACTGAGTCATGTTTGAATTCTTTCATCTGATAAGCAAATGAGCAGCCAAGCAAGCCCAGACTTCCCAACACACAGAGCTTCCTTAGAAGCCCCGTAGGAGCTGTCCACGCACCGTATCTACATCTGACAACGATTACACAGCTGGAAGAGGTGTGACTGCCACTCAGCTCGGTAAATCCGAGCCAGCTTTAGACAACCCAGTTTGTACACCAACAGCAACACTGCTAAGACAGCTCTGTGTTTAGGGCAAGCGAGCCTTCCAAAAACCTATTCAGCTCCTATGCTGCTAAAACCCGAGCTACCAGCTTAAAATTAGCTCAGCCTACCTCTATAAACTGCAGGCACAGTTGTAACTGCAGCATAAGCCTACTCTTGTGATATTGCAGGTCCAGAACTAGTGGACAGCAGCAGCAACAGACACAAAGAGCAAGAAGCAAGTAGGGACATAACTCCTAATCTGTACTGGATAAAATTTCAGGTTCAGCTAAAAGCAGAAAAATGGGCTTTCCAAAAGCATGTTAAAAGCATAAAACAGAGGGTTTTGTTTGGCAGAATTCAGTACAGACTTGCCCTTTTAACCTCAAGACAGCCAAAGCACACAGAATCCCTTAGTTAGAAATACACTGTGAAGATAAAAGGTCAGCTCCGTTCTCCAAAATGGGTTTGAACACAACAAAATTTGCCTCATAAGCTTAGGTTGCTTCATTTACACTGTAACTCATTTTTAACAGTGGTTGGTTCTCAAGTATTATCTTAAAAAAAAACCCAAACAACTTCAACCTTCACAAATTTTCTTTCTTTCTTTCTTTGAAAACAAATAATAAAAGTACTTAAAGCTCATTCATGGTATAAAGTGCAAGCTCCCTTGGTGGAAAGCCTTCCGAATTCAAGGCTTCCTGCGCTCAAGTAACCACCGCAATTAATTTAATGGGAGTTTGTTGTAAATGCTTCTTTCCCTGGTAACTTTTTGTATCACTCTCTTATATCCAACTTTCAACTTTAATCTGCGTAATTATGAGAGGGACCAGGCAGACAATTTTGTTTCCAGTTCCTGCCTCTCAACAGGCATTAGCACAAACGTTCTGAGCCATTTTCCTGCACAATACTGACGGACAGACCACAGCTGCCATGCCACAAACAGCACAAAAATCCACGCAAACAAATGCTCGTACTTCCTTATCCAACTTCTCTGTTCCTATTCTCTAATCCTAAGGTTTTCCTGAGAGGTCTAGGATTTATTAATATTAAGTACAACTGCTGAAAAACATCCTCAAATTTTCATACTGTGCAAATTCAGCAAATAGATCCTAGAGTCACTAAAAAAAAAAAAAAAGATAACAGGCTACATCAGCAACAACAGATCCATTGCTTAGTGCTCAGTTAACTGTCAGCCTCCTGAGTATTAAATTAATAAGAAATAATTTTTAAAAATTAGCCTATAGCCTTTAAAAAATCCCTAAAAATTAACTCTTCGTGGTTACCAACAAACCAGGCTTCATCCTCCCTTACCGTGCAGACAATCAGTAGCATACATTCCCTTGAAAGACAGAGAAAACCAAGGTCGAGTCAATAGGTTTTTTGTCTGCTCTACCTCTGTATTTGGAGCTCAGCAGCTAGAATTATGGAAACACAGCAAGCCATGACATAGCCTGTAGAGAATGTTAGCACGACTGGGCACCCTAGTCCTTCATTACAGCAAACAGGCAATAAATTCAGCTAAAACTGCTGCATCTAAAAACACTACAGCTCACTTTGCATTCCTCAAGCCCTATGATGATAAATAATGCTAATTGTTGTCTTCAAGAACAATAAGAGAGAAGACAGCTTGAAATTTAGCCCTACAAGGCGAAACCTTGAAGAACGTGACCTTTTCCTACAATACACTGAAAAGCCCCCATAAAATGCTTTGCTCCCTCCATAACACCCTAACTGACAGATTGCCACACAGTCCCAGAAAGATTTATTTTCATTTTTAATTAATGGTCACAACAAAAATACTGTATTTGACTTCATGAACCTAACATCACTGTTCATTCAGCCCTTGCCAAGCAGAGCTTTAAAGTCTCTGTGGCACTTTGAAGTCTTACATTTTGGCACAAAGAAATATAACTTTTCAGCAGGCAAAAAGCCCTTTGTTTTTCTACTGCCTTTTGTTAGTGTTCAAGTTCATATAAGCCTTCAGTCCTCAAATAATACTTCCTATTTTGCAAGTTAGACTTGAAAAGCCATTAAAGTTTCGTTAAATAAGGAAAACTCAAATATCCCTAAGACTTTAACCCTATTCAACTTTGAAGTCATAGCACAGTACGAGAGAACACGCAGCTACCAAAACATACATGTAACACAAAATACATGCATTCCATCCTATTCCATATAGTAGAATTGCATACTTTTATTGTTTTAGCACAAGTATCATTTTATTAGGTTTCCATAAGCCTCAGCTAACTAATTCAAATGATAACACAAGTCTACTTTTCATGGAAATTCAGGTAGAGAATATTTATTGCTGTATTGATTTAATCTTAGTACAGCAAAAAGGCTCAGTAGCTATAAAGCAAAAGGCAAGAGAGACAGTTTTATTATTTTATACTAAGCTGAACACATTTTTTTCTCAAACCAATGCTGCTTTTTCTGGTAGTTCCTTCTCTCTCTTATCTCTTAGCTCATCTCTCCACTTTGATGATGTTCTCTCCTAATACACTATTTTTGGTACCTGTTGGGGGTTGGGGGTGGGTTGTTTGCTTCTTTGTTTTGGGGGTGGTTGTTGTGGTTTTGCATTATGGGTGTTTTTTTCTTTTTAAATATAGTATTTGCCAGACTAATATAGCTGTACAGTGGTTCCCATGCAACTGCCAGAAAAAGCAGAATCCGAACAGACGAAGGATGCCAGCTGAGCTGACATTTATTTACAAAGAAATATTCTGACCAGTCAGAAATA